TGCCGTGGCGAAAGAGAACATTCAGGCAAACAACACTTGTAACTTGTCAAAGTTAGCTAGGCTTAGATCATAAATATTTGAATTTTTAATTAAGCTACTTTTATTAATAATAATTAGAAAAAATTATCTTTAATAAGAAAACATTCTCAGAGAAAATCCACTTTGTTAAGAAAAGTGGAACAGTTTAATAGAAATTAGCTCAATTCTAAAACAATCCATTTCATCTTTATCAATTGATTATCTTTCTCCTTGCATTAGATAGATATATCAAATATGTAAAAGATTTTTATAAAAATAAATATTTAGACTAAATATGTACACTGAGAGAATAAGTCAGGGATGTAGTCAGGGATTATTCCCAAATATTAAGTCAAACTTCCTGATTCAAATTTTTTTTAATCGCGATCATAGTAAAGATTAGAACTTCATTTACAACTAAGGCCGAGCTTAAACCGAACTGGTTCGAATTCGGAACCTGCAAAAATGATTTGGTACGGGTTAAGGTGAGGCTTTTTTTGGATGATGGGAAATAGGTATAAATAATAGTATAAATAAATAAAATAATAAATAAATAATAAGCAATTGAAAAAAACACAGGAATTAAGAGTAAAAACTTTTGAGCAAGATCACAAACCAAAGTACAAATAACTTTGGACCCAAAAATTGCATTTATCTAACCAAATTTGTTAGATGTCAATTTTGGGTATAGATCAAATGTAGCCCGCATTTTGCATATGAACATATTTTTGGCCTCCAATATTTTCAAAACATCGGGCAAATGAAAACAAATTAAAATATTAAATAAATTATTAAAATTTTGAAAATATATGAATAAACGGATGTGAAAATCTGGTTTCACGAACCGGAACTAAGTGCAGAGAGTTGGTTGAAGTCGTGAACTGAACCAATGAACATTTTTATAGCTTACAATTTTTGAGTGTTTAAAAAAATGTAATAAAAAATTGTTTAGATATTTGGTGATATTTATAAAGCTTTCCAGACTGGCCAAAAATGTTACCCACCTGATCTGTAATTTACGATAACTTTCACTTTACCCCATCTACTTAATAATCTATATTCGATTACAAATTTCTTTACTCTTTTTAATAACTTGTTTCTATTCTATTCTATGCTTATGTTTTAAATACGTAGATTGACAGTCGTTTAGTCGAGAAGCTTTAAGAAGCTGACAATTTGCTTTGCAGTTTTCAGCTTTTTCCTACAGACAAATCATTTCTCTAATTTGGCCCAGTCCAATTCATGAATCAATGCTCAAAGCTTAAAAAGTGTATAAGTTTTATGAACAGACTCACGATAAACTAGCCAAAACATAAGCTTTGTTTATATATCGACTTTTATAGCTTGGCTGTGGCTACCTATTTTGCATTGAGAGAGAGGCACTGTAGATATGGAAATCGGCGCTTCAAAGCTTGTCAGGGTAGATCTTAAAAGTGTTTACGATACTTAAATTACATTTAGAGTGTGTGCGAGTGTGTGTGCGAGTGTGTGTGCGAGCGTGTGTGCGTCTGCCGTGCAAAGTGGCAATATGTACGCTACACTCTAAAGTTGTTTAGATTGAAACGTCTTTTAATTGCATGTTAATTGCCCTAACTGACCGTCCGTCCGTCCGGACAGACAGCTGGCGAATGTGGACGATGGTAGCGCGTTCTGGGGACGCAGTTAAGATCTGCGAAAGATACAAAGTTGTTGTCGAAGGCAGAAGAAGTCGTCGCCGTCGCCGTCGCCGTCGCCGTGTTGTTGTTGGCCAAACTTGGAGCTTGGAGCTTGGAGCCAGAAGTCAGTGGACATTGTTTGTTCTGGTTGGGTTTTTCTTCTCTTTCTCTTTTTCTGTTTTGGTCTGTTTCTGAAAAACTGGACTGAACTGAACTGGACTGCATGGTGGAGTTGGTTCTAGAAAACAGTTGCACTCATTTGTTGTCCCAGTCGCCATCATTGCGCTTGTTCTTCGCTCCTCACCTGGCTGTCTCTCGAGTCCGAGTACGTGTGGTTATGGCTTTGGTTCAGACACTGCCCGTGGACTCTAGCTCTGGACAAAGACAAGTTTTTCAAGTTTTCCGACAGGGGCACATGAAGTCATTCAAGTGGCAAGCAACAGCAGCCCAGAGCCACCGGACAAGGGACAAGGGACAAGGCACAGACAACACAGTTGACCACAAGAAGACCGCGTCGGGCCGTGCAAAACAGTTTTGCTTCTCAGCATTGTTTTTGCCTGTTGCCTGTTGGTTGTTTTTGTTGCTTTTGTTGTTGCCTGTTGTCCAGTTGTTTAGAGCTGTCATTTACACTTGACGTTCAAGTGAAATAGCAACAATTGCAGTTGCTGGCAACTACTGCAGTCCGACTTATATTTATACATATACAAAGTATATAATTCCATCAGCTGAAGCTTATGGGGAATCAATTACCTCAGATAAGATAAGATTGCTAAGCTGGTAAGTTGTTGGGTACATTAGTTCTCGACTGTAATGAGAAGCCCTTCCAGGTAAGGCATTACTAAGTCGTTTATAAAATTTAAATTGTTCAAAAACTTATGACAAACCCATTACGCATTGTTAAGTATTAATAATTCCTCTGTGACATTTATCAAAATGTTGAAAACAATAATCAGTCATGGGAAAGTATAAGTACTAGAAATCTTTTTAAACTTTTAACAGCAAAATCATAAATGAAACTTAACATTAACTTTAAAATTAACATGCATGTCTAAGCTTAACATTCATGTGTACTTAACATTAATTCTCCACTTAACAGAGGCATTTTTAAAATGAATTCCCTACTTAACATAGATATCGAGACATAACATAAACTATAACCATAGAAAAATCCCCTATATTTTAACATTAACTTTAACATTACCTTACAAAATTGATGGGTGAATTAATCACACACAGCATCTTGTCCCCCAAAGAACACCCGCAATGTTAATACATTTTACAGTTTGCATTGAAGCCAAATATCTAGACTTAACATGCATTGTAACCTAAGAAAAGATGTTGTCTATTGCTTGAATTTTATAAATTTTATAAATATTGCTTCTGTTTTAAAGATTCAATTGAATTTGGATCATAATCTCAGTAACATTTTTAGGGAACATAATATTCCCGTGCATTATTACGTTACCCCATTTATTTTACTGCACTTTCAGTAGAATATCGAACAATATCCGTGCGTAACATAGCACCGATTACATTTTAGATAGATGCATTTGCAAACTGATTCCAGGCACTTGATGTTATAACTATATGGCCATTAATAAGCATTAAGTTTACTTTCAAACCATACTGACCGCTTTAATAAGTAGCCGTGGTTCCAAGTGCCATACCCTATAGATATGAGTAACGAGTTTACCTTTATCGCCTTCGGCATGAGCTAGTGCTTGTTTTGTAGGCCTTACTCATTGGGTTGGGTGGGGCCTTCTACATGGAGGTAGACAACGTTAAATCACTGACCCAATTCAAGGGCCTAATGGTTACGCCTCAGTGTTCCACTTGACTTTTATTTGTAATGCGCACAGTTTTTGGGTTTATAAAGAGCTCATTGTAAGATTTGTTTAGTGCCCATTCGCAGGCAAGTGTTAATTAAATTTATTGAAACTTCAGTTACAGATACAGATACAGATACGATTCAATGGATTTGAATGCGAGCCAAATGAAGCGTGCCCAAACAGATTTGTTGTGTGTATATGCCCTTTTTGGGGGTTCGGCAGCGATCAGGAAATGAGTTGACAATTTGACAACCAAAGACCAGTTCTTATTATCCACTATGGAGTACACCCGTAAATTGCGCCCATTTAACCACATTTATTTATTTTTTTTTTTATCACAAAAAGCCCGTCACCATATTCACAGCGAACAGTTGCAGCGCGCTTGCAAAATGGTCAAGACATAAGTTTTGGACATAATTAAGCCATCGCGAATGGCATTTGGGGAAAATGTTTGCCATTTGCGTTGACAGTTGTCAACAAGCGCTAACTTGGCTAATTAATCAAAATAATGACAACATTTTTGGCCAAACAATTGACATTTTTCACAAAATATCACAATTAATAGATAAATCGATTTTAAAAATGCAAATCTGAAGAACTCAAGTGTATAAAGGGGAGAAATCAATCAAAATATTGCAGTTACATATTTTAATTAGAGATTAGAGATTTAGGGAGCTAAATGTAATCAGTTTTATACCCTTGCAGAGGGTATTATAATTTTGAAGGAGACATCTCCGACCCCATAAAGTATATATGTATGTATATTCTTGATCAGTATCAACAGCCGAGTCGATATAGGCATGTCCGCCTGTCCCTATGTCTGTTTCTATGCGAACTAGTTTTAAAGCTACCTTTATAAAACTTTGCAGAAGGTCTTCTTTCTGTTGCACGCAGTACATATGTCGGAACCAGTATATCATATAGCTGTCATAGGAACGATCGGTCGAAAGGTAGGTTCTTGTTCGAACAACTTGTTTGTTTATCAAGATATCTTGACCAAACTCGGCATTTATTAGTTTCACTATGCCTTTCATATATATGCATCCCATCCACATCGGACTACTATATCATATAGGTCGATCGGTGTAGTTGTTGTATGAAAAACTTTTTTGTTTTTCAAGATATCTTGACGAAACTCGCCATTTATAAGTTTCACCATGTTCCCTACATTTATGCAAAATCTTATTTATATCGGACGACTATATCATATAGCTGCCATACGAACTATTGGTCGAAAAGTAGGTTCCTGCATATACAACTTTTTTGTTTAGCCCTTCTCTCTCGTTAAACTTCAAATGAGCTTATCTTCAAATGATTCTCTTAAGAGCTTTTAGAGATAAATCTTGATTTTGTAAGAAATATATATATATTTTATTCCGAAAAACTTCAAATGTTAATCAGCGTGATGTACTGGGGGTAACATGAAAAGTTGCGCTCTATGAATAGCTTGTACTTTGTTCCAGCCTTGATTCAGGACATGCTTTCGCACTCCCATTTCTTAGTTCTTCGCCTCGTCTTTCATCTTTGCCTCTGCCAGCAGCAGGGCTTCAATTTTCTTGAGATTCTCCTCGATTCTCGTTTTGTACTCTTCCTCCTCATTTGGTGTCTGTTCCTTGGTCTCCTCCCGGTCCGCCGAGCTGTCGCCTTTGGTGCGTCGTCCCATGGTCAATTTGGTGATCAGATGCCTTGGTATCCGCACCTCGGCGCCAATGCGATTCTGGCTTTTGTACTGGTCCAGGACGCGCACAAATGGATTGAGGGGACAGCCCTTGGCCTGCGCCGCGGTCATCAGCCGATGGGCGTACTCCATGAAGTGGGCATCCTCGCGCAGGCACTCCAGCTGCGCCAGGCGATTGTAATTGGTGGTCGGACGCGCTTCCTCTTTGAGACGCAGCTGCTCCTGTTTGTCCAGCTGGGCGCGCAGCTCGTGTTGGCGACGCAGCTGCTCCTGGCGCTGCTGCCGCTTGAACTGCACGTGAATCAGCTCGTTCTGCAGTCGTCTGTCCATGTCATCGCGACGTTGTGCCTCCGCTTGCCGCTTGGCTGCCTCGGCCTGCTCCTGCTCGGACCGCTGCATGGCCAGGCGTTCGGCTTTGATCTGCTGCCGCCGCTGGCGAGCGTTCTGCTGCTCGACACTGTGCGCTCGTCGCATCTCCGCCAGCTGTCGCTCGTGGCGCAGCTGATCCTCGCCAGCGCTGTAGTGCAGCCGCGGTGCCAGCTCCTTGGCCAGCTGCTCATTGCGCTGCAGTCGCCGCTGCACACGCTGCTTGGCCAGATCGATCTTCAGGCTGTCCAGCTTGGCCTTCGCCTCGTTGTGCACCTCGCATACCGCCAGCTCCACCCTATCCAGCAGCTGCAATTGCTGCCGCCGCTGCTCGGCTGCGTCTAGGGATGCCAGCGTGTGCTGGCGCCTCTGCTGCACCCTGGCCGCCTGCTCGGCGCGCTCCTTGTCCAGCTGCTGCTTCAGTTGCAGCTCATTGCGCTGCCGTTCCTGGCGTGCCAGTTCCAGCTGCTCCGCTTTGGCAGCGCTGCGTTCCTGCTGCCGCTGCTCGATGGATTTGAGCAGGTCGCGCTTGTGCTCTCCCAGCTGCTGGCGTCGCTCCCGTTGACGCAACTGCGCCTCTTCCAGCCCATTGAGCACCTGCTCGCTATAGCTGCGCCTGTCCAGCGTGCGCTGCTGCTCCGCTGCCGCCGCAAACTGTGCCTGCAGCTGCCTCTGGGCAATGATGCCGCGGAGCACCTCACTCTGCTGCTTGGCGCAGTGCAGTTCCCGTGGTCCCGGACGCAGTTCCTCCAGCAACTGCTGCGCCTTCTCGATGCGCTGCCGTTGCCTTAGCTGCTCCTCGCGCTGCACCCCTGCGCTCTCCTCGAGCGCACGCTGCTTGGCCAGCTGCTGATCTGCCTGCTGCTGCAGCTGGTCTCTCAGGCACTGCTCCTCCTCGGTGGGGCACAGCTTGCGGCCGCCGAAGCGACGCAGCAGCTCCTCGCCGCCCAGACGCAGCTGCTCCTCGTAAAGCTGACGCTGCCGCTGCTTCTGCCGCTGCTGCTCCTTGTCGGCCTGGCCGGCATTCGCCTGGAGCCGCGCATAGCGCTGCAGCGATATAACCAAAGGAGGTTTCTCCCTTATCCTCAGCTGGCGCCGTTCCTGTGGCAGCCAACTGTACTGCATGGCGCTTAGCTGGAGAATCGATTGAATGTTTCTCTAACTAAAAATCGCCGGCTAAATTTTTGTTTGCTGTTGTCTAGGAGATCCGGTTGTGGCGGGGAGATTCGTCGCCATGGCAATGTCTGGTTACATGTTTGGAACTAAAACCCTGAACTTCTAACTTTTGCTGCACTTAACTATTTAAAGTTATCTTTCATAGAAGAGAAAGAAGTATCTATTATAACGATTCCTCTTCAATTGTCGGAATCGGTTAGAGTATATAATATTACTAATATTTAATTTCGCTCTGCAGCTGCTGCATTTTGGCTAGAGTATTCTTTCGGATCTCAAATATTGATATATCTTTTTTTGCGAAGCCTTTTGTTTTGAAATTGCAATCCCAGCTGAAATATCATCTAAATTACCGAATACGTTTGTATTGAATTCCCATTTCAACGACCTCAACTGCAGTTGTTCGAGTTCAAAGTGAGCCAGGTATCAATTTCCAGTGTCCAGGTTCCATTTGCATTACTCATGGCCTCCAATTCACCTGTGGTAATCGAATTGCAGCATTCGCACTCGCTGCTAACCAAATTACGATAGTTGGTGGTGGTGGCGCGCGGATATTTATGGGGCATGTTTCACGGATGCCACAAAAGTGTTGCCTCGGTGAAAGGCACTTTGCAGCAGTTGCATGTGAGATTGTCATCAAATATTTGCGCCAGCAACTCGATAAATTGCTGTCATTTACATTTGCCAGTTGCTACAAGTTGATATTTATGTGGAACAATCAGACGAAGCTTGGCAATTGCTGCAGAAATCTCGAAGAACTCCTTCGGTTATAGAGACTAACTTAATTTTTGATTTTAGAATTTTTAAATGGTGAAACACGGAACTGGAAATCGATATTTATCGATTTTTGCACACACCTTGAACTCATTCGGTTTTATAGACTAACTAAATTTATTATTTAAGAATTTAAAAAGATGGAATTTCACTATGATCTTAAGCAGCATGGTACTGGAAATCGATATTAATCGAATTTTGGGGATATGGGTGCGAGTTATCGATACAATATCGAAAAAACTTCTAGTGTCTGAAGAACTGTTGATGCTGAACAGGTATATTAATGTGATCCTAATGTCTTTGATATACCCTTTTAAACATTATAATGGCCGCAGGGTATAGAAAAAATTACTCAAAAATTAATAAAAGAAATTGAAATAAGATTCAGACCTTTGCTTTGACCAACTGGGGATCAATTTCACGTTATTCCGAACACATTACTCATTCGTAAATCCAAACTTTAATTTTAGTCAAACAAACCAATGAAGCCAAAGAACTTTCCGCACTCCCTCACTCTCTCTCTCTCCCCCTCTCGCTCCCTCGTGCCCACCCTTAAAGGGCGACTCACTAGAGTGTCACAAAATTAAATTATCTGATCGAGTTACGTTCTATATTTGAGTCGTATTCTAGTATTTACGTGTCTGTGGAGTTTTATGTCAGTCAACTGGGGTTTTCACTGGGTTGTTCTCTTTATTTTGAGGTTTTTGTTTGTTGTCTAAGCAAACGGCTGACAATGAATGAGAGCGTGTGTGTGTGTGTGTGCCTGAGGCTTAAAGGTTTTATCTTTTTTCATGTTCGTTGTGAACTTGTTGATTTTAGATACAAAGTTGCTGTCGTCGTTGTCGCTGTCGCTGTCGCTGTCGTATTTGCGCAACCAAAAACAACCAGAATTGTCGAAACGACCGAAAACACGAAGGTTAATGTATCTTCACAACGTTCAGGTTGTATCTATTGCAAATAAAGCAAATACGCTGCGTTTGTTTTCAATGCTTTTTGGGCTTGAGCGAAGTTTTTGAAGCTCGCTTCACTTTTCAGTTGAAGTTTGCTTAATTTTGTTTTTTTTTGCAAGTCTGCGACTTGCCAGACTTTGTAGCTTTGCCGACGATTATTAAATATGTTTGAATATATATACAAAGTATATATATATATGTATATAGAAAGACCCTGTCTGAGTTCTAAGAAGAGTCAACAGTTTCTTTTGTTTTTGTTGCCTGGGCAAAAATTGAGCTGTGCAAACATAAATTTGATTTTGAATTATGAATTTTGTATCAGAAGCCAAAAATAAATCAGGTAAACTTCTTAAGGCTCAGTTCCTTTGTTGTGCGCTGATGCGCAAAACTTAGCCAATTAATCAAAGGATCTCAAAATGGAACTGGCTTCTGAAAGCGCATTCGATGTTTTCCTAATTAGGTTTAATGAGCTGGCAAAGCAACATGACAACAAAAAAAGAAATCAATTCAATTAAATTAAAAGTAAAACTAAATAAAATGGAAGCTAATGCCTAAAGAGCTTAAGATATAGATCTGCCCGACTTGTAAAAGATAGATTTATGGGTAACAATACTAAATACGCACGATTATGAAATATCTCGGATTAAGCAGCCAATAAATAGATAGATAGATTGGCTTCAAAGCTGACTAATGCTGGAGTGACAGCATCGCTGAGTCATTTATGTAAATAATTCAAAGAAAGTTGACTAATTGATAAAATATTTAACATACATTCATGTGGCCTTTGAAGGGATACAAAGTCTAAAAATCGCTTAAGCACAACTTACTAATCACTTTTGTTTGACTTCCTTGGCCGATAAAAATGAAGTAAAAGGCGTGTGAAACTTACCTAAAAGAGAAGAAAGAAGTGCAATTTATAGATTAATTAAACAATTTATTAAAGTAAAGCACTTAAATTTGATCTTTTGTTGACGAAAACAGAAAGAAATAATTGAGAGATGTTTGAATTCTTACAAATATTATGTATTTAAATATACTGCCAGGACTAAAAAGCCCTCTGATCAAGCATATACTAGGTATATTTCAAAATAAAAAAAAAGGGAAACCAAATGAAACATGTAAAAAAAAAGAATTTTCTGTCCCATTCCAAAAGCAACCAGGTTTAGCTTGAATTTCTCTATATATTCATGCCATATTTATTTCTAAGGCTTTGCACACAATTTACAAACAGAACCATGAAAATACGCTGTCATTAAACCTTTAGTACTTGTCTCTCTTCGCACATTAAGCTCCATGACATTGTGTATATGGTCCACAGACTTCAAACATTTTAATAGCTCATTAAAAAAACAAAATTCCATAGAACTAAAGTAGCTCAGCGTCGTAAAAAGGCGACACATGTGGCGGCATCAAAACAACCACAGCTCAGATGAGTTTTAAAAATGATATTTTGTACATGTATCTAGCGAGTCGATTTCAACTAATTGCTTGACAGTTTTTTCTTTTCTTTTTTTTTTTTTGGGTTGGAACTTCAGTTTCGTAATGGAGCAGTACTCGTATACACACGAGATTGCCGCGAGAGATTCAAAACCCCATTTTGAACTTGCAAATTGCAGACTGCAATTGCCCCTTTGGGCTGGCATTCAGCTCTTTGCATTCCATGTGCAATTGAAGATCCGGCGCCAACTGCACTCCAAGTGGATGTCTCTGAATTGGCGCCAGACGCAAAACAGTTTGGAGTAAACATTTTAAGCGATCTTTAGACACGCCCCACAAGTAAATATCAAAAGAAATAGGAAACTAATCGCATCCTGATCTTTTTTTTTTCCTACTTTCAATTATACTGTCAGAGTGTCAGCTAGATTTATGGCTCACAAGTAAATAATAAAGCAAATGGGAATATAACGTTGGGTTCCTAAAAATTCTTTTCCTAAACGTGTCAGAATTCACTTATACTTAAATATGAGTACAGTGCGCTCTGCAAAATTAAAACTGTCAGAAATTAATTAAATATAATTAATTAGATTAAATATATTCCTAATGTTGGGAACATTGTATTAATATTTATTAATCCAAAAGCATCAAGTTTAGAATTGTTGCATATTGTTTTTTATTAGGTTTTATTTCTGGGAAATTGGAATTTCCTAATTGAATATCAACTTTATCAACGAATCGTTCTAGTTAGCTAGGTACCACTGTACCTAATAAACAGTACAGCAAGTAGAGCAGGTTCAATAGTTCAGTGTCATTCCGATAATTCATTGTGCTTGGAACTTTGAGCAGCGGCCTTCAAATAGAACAATAAATAAAACTGACCAACTGAGCCGTGACTTACAAAAGTTGCGTGTTGCCTTTTTGTGTAATGTAAATAATAATAATAAAAAAAAAAATAGTAATAATATAACATTAAGCTTGAAAAATGATGAGTTCATAGAAAACAAAGGCTTGGCTTGGCTTTAACTTTGAGTTTAGCTTTAACTGGGACTGGAACTGGGCTTAAAGCAACCGCAGCAGCAGCAGCAGCAGCTGCCCATCGATAACTCAGCCAGCTCTTCCGTTTTGTAATTAATCAATTTCAGCTTGGAAATGCATACAAAATAAATCGCGCGCATTGTGTGAAAAAATAAGCAACAACAACAACAGCAACAACAACCGACAACAAGCACATTTTGGTTTTATAATAAAAATGTTAAAATTTACGAGACAAAGGCGCAACATTGACGTGAATGCAACATGTTGCCGCGTGGTAGCCAAGGAGCCATTCGATGGGGCAGCCAACATGACAATCCCCCAGAGTTTGCAACACCCGAGCCAGGAAGTGTGCGTGTGTGTGTGTGTGTGTGTGTGTGTGTGTGTGTGTGTGTGTGTGCGGTGGTGTTTACTTCTTGGATAAACTGTAAACTTACGTTAAATATTTGTAAACAATATGATGGAAAGAGAAACTATAACGCCGGAAAAATGATTTCTATACAATGGAGACGAATATGTTAAATTGCTTATAGAAATCTATTGATAGTCTTTAATATGCTAGAAAGTTCCAAAAGTGATACGAGTTCCATAAATATGGCGAGAAGTGTGAACAACTAAAACTACGTGAGTGAAAACCCGAATTTTGAACCGAATCTTTAACCGGAACCAATGTGAAAAACTTCTGTGAATGACCCAGCTCAAAAGTAAATATATATAATATTGCCCCGATCATGGCACTTATCTAAACATATTTGTCAA